TGACTGGGGTGAGATGATATCTCATAGTTGTTTTAATTTGCATCTCTCTTAGGGCTAGGGATTTTGAGCATTTCTTCATGTGCTTGTTAGCCATCTGAAAATTTCCTATCATGCTTAAATGTTTACTGAATCAAACAAGAGCTTGACTTCTATTTTTGAACTGAGATGTTCCAGGAAAGTTATCTAAAGAATGATGTCAGATGTTTGGATAGGGGCACAATTTCAATGTTTGATAGTGGTGCTATTTCCATAGATACACCTCTTTTGAGGTCTAACATTGGAATGTGCTTCGAGTCTGTGCTTTGTTGCCTCATTAATCCTTCATAAGAACTGAAGTCTAGTATTTATTCTATTTCTTTGCTCAACAATATGGTGCCTTGACAATTAATGCCAGAGATACCACATTAATATACACTTTCTTCATTGGTTCAAATGTTCTTCAAATTCAATGACTTTCTCTCTCTCATTGTCTAGATGATGCTGGATCAAAAATTCAGCTGATTCAGCAGGTAGACATGGCAGCACAGGTTGCCTCTGGAATGGCCTATCTGGAGTCGCAGAACTATATCCACAGAGACCTGGCTGCCAGAAATGTCCTAGTTGGCGAACATAATATTTACAAGGTGGCCGATTTTGGACTTGCAAGAGTTTTTAAGGTAGGCTAATTTTTTTTTTTTTTTGTAATGTATCAAAAGACCAGTGTGCCAGTAGGTTTATTGTCATTCCTCAAAATAATGTTTAAATTCTAGGGTCTGTAGTCCACTTTAGTAGCCCAAGACTCTATAATAACCTACCCAACCATCCTCTTCACCAATAAGATAGAAAGAGTGAAAACAGTAATCGATCAAATTGGAAAATATATAACTGTGTCTGTTTTCAGTATTTAATTAGTGACAGTAACTCTTAATAATCCCCCTCTATGACCTTTTCAAAAAGCAATCCTTTTTTATGCAATGAGTTCCTCCACTCACTTTTGTTTGTTTTATGTCAAAGTAATCTGTCTGCTGCTGAAATTCTTCCATAATTATTGACTTTTTAATCTCCCCACTCCATTTTATAATGTAATGTTCTTATAAAGTCAAAAGATAACTGTCATGCAAAATGTAATAATAGATTTTTTCCTCCCATGCTCATTCTAAATTGTGTCCTAAAAATAGAGACATGAAGAACAACAAATACATAATTATATTTTGATCATCATTAATTCGCTATGGTTTCATTATATAAATGAATTATAATCCCAGTGAGTTGATATATTTATTTAAATCAATTGGTTCCTGCTTTTAAATATTGGAAAGTTCTTATGTGGTAATTATCAAAATCAGTGGTTTTTCAATACTAGCAGTAAATGAGAAAATAGACGTTTCCCTTATTTGCTAATAACCAGATGTGAAATCAACATCATCATATATGCTGCCCTCTGTGTAGAAGTATCCTATATGATACAGTATCTGGGGCAATGGGGGTTGATGTGTCGGAATTAGTGAGACTGGCTCAGGACAGGAAAGGATTCAGAGCTGTGGTACACAGGGTCACTATATGTTGCAGGTGACTCAATGGGACATAACAGCAACAGTATACCATATTGGTTGGTTTTGTGTTTTGTTTTGTTTTTTTAAATTTATTTAAGCCTCTTGTTTAGAGTCAACAAGACTTTCAGGAGGGCCTTTGTATTTAAAGGTTGGTTGATACTATATTTAGGAGGAACATTCTTCTAAGTGGTGCAGAGCTTTTCTGTCAATATGCTGTACTAAAACAACCTAGGGTTGCTGTGATGCTGAACTTTGTGCCATTGGTGTGTCAAATGCCATAACCGTTGCCCATGATGAACAGTGTTTGGTGGAGCTCCCCGTTTAAGACAGGTTTAGAAGCAGGAGTGGCATCCACTTCCTAAACAACATGTCTCTGGAAACTCCAAGAACTTTGATAAAGACAATAGTTATAGAAAGGCTTCAGGCCTTTTGTTCATAGGGTCACTAAGAGTCATGCTTGACTCAATGGCAATCAACAGCATCACCACCAAAATATGTAACAAAGAGCTCTTTCCAGTGCTACTCTTGGCACTTAGTAAGCTGTGAATTATTTTATTAATGACTTCTCATACATTTTTTGGTCTCCTACGCCAGATTTGAATTTGTACTGTCATTATCAATTGAATAAAACTAATTTTTATTTACTTTTCTCTAAATTTTAGTGTGAAACAGGTTATAGATTAGTAAGGGTGAGGCGAAAATAAAAACCACTAACTTGGCTTGATCCCTTGATGCATTAACAGGTAGATAATGAAGACATCTATGAATCTAAACACGAAATAAAACTGCCGGTGAAGTGGACTGCACCTGAAGCCATTCGCTCTAATAAATTCAGCATTAAGTCTGATGTGTGGTCATTTGGAGTTCTTCTTTATGAAATCATTACTTATGGCAAAATGCCTTATAGTGGTGAGTGATTCATTCTGAAGTGATCCTTTCTGCTGCAGGTCACTTACTTAGGTGTAACTTTAACTGCTTTCCCCACACTTAAGAGGACAGAGTTATGAGGCTGACCACACTATGTGCCTGAGGGAGCTTAACAGATAAAATTTGATGATGGTCATTTGCATTAATGAGGTGGTTTATTGCATCATTGTCTTTGCTCTTGGATTTTAGTCTTATAGCCATTACTTGCTCTTGGAGTTAACTTAATCTCTGGAGTCTGGAAAAGCTATGGTAGACTTCATATTTTCAGTGAGGAATTCAATTATAAGTGACCACAGTACTTATACCAACAGTACACCATGAATTTAAGACACTGCTTTTAACTTGTTATTTTGCTGGTCTTAGTCTTTGTTTTGTTTTATTTTTTAGGTATGACAGGTGCGCAGGTAATCCAGATGTTGGGCCAAAACTATAGACTCCCTCAACCATCTAATTGTCCCCTACAGTTTTACAACATCATGCTGGAGTGCTGGAATGCAGAACCCAAGGAACGGCCAACATTTGAGACACTGCACTGGAAACTCGAAGACTACTTTGAAACAGACTCTTCATATTCAGATGCAAATAATTTCATCAGATGAATGTTGAAGACTAATAAGCAAGAATGGAGTAAAAACAAAAGTGAATAATCAACCCAGAAATACAACCTTCTCAAGTAACTGTGAAATCAGGTTATACTGACATTTCCAGGTGATAGGGTATCTTTGGCCATGCATTATAAGATATTCTATGAACATTCTATAGACTAGGCAATACTGCAGGATAAGCTCAGATGATATGACATTTTCTCACTGCCTGGCAAGTAAAACAGAATAAGCAAAGAGATTTTTTTTCCTTTTCTTTTCAGAAGACACATTTCTATTTATTGTTGGAAATACCGATCAAGAGAATCAACAGATGATAGTCGGTTTTTACTCAGTGACTGTTGTTGCATTATCCTGTTTACTGATTAGGGTGGTTATTCATTATTCCTCAGAGAGCTGAATCCCATCAGGCTGTTATTATGAAGGAATCTGATTGCTTTGCTGCACAGCAGGACCTGTGCTTTGAGGTTTTTTCCCTTTCTTTTTTATCCCTTTTAAAATCTCCTGTGACTACAATGATGGTAAAGCCATGCTAAATGGCTTGATTGTACTTGGAGTAATTGCACATATTTTCTCCTATGCATAAAAAACTGAAACAGCTGTTAAGAAAAAGAATTAAAATTGCTCTCATTTAGGAGAAGGAAATGATAGAATTTTTCTATACCTCAGTATGTGTCATTTGAGAATAATCTACATTAGTTTTAATCTCTTAATGTTAAGAATCAGATAGCAAAACTGATGAGTTATTATCTATGGAAATATATGAAAACTATCTAATAGTGCAGGAGACCTGAGAAATAGGTATCCAAAGAGTTTAGGGAAATGAGAGAAGAAAAGTTGGATTGCTATAACTCGGGATTTCTGAATAATTAAAAAAGAACAAGTGAGGAAGATTTCAGCGTATAAATCAGAATTTAAATTATCTTCAAAGTATGTATGTTAGTTATCTGTTGTTCGAACCATGTATCTTTGAGTTGGAGCACAATTCCTTATCACTGTAATAGTATTTGAGGGAGCTATGGTGGCCTAATGGTAAGGAACTGTGCTACCATCCCCAAGGCACATGGTTCAAATGCGTCAGCTGCTCCACAGAAGATGAACAATCTCCTCTCATAAGAGTAAATCGCTTCTGAAAACCTGCTGAAACGTCAGCTATAGGTTGATTTCAACTCTACAGTACACAACAACAATAGAGCAGCAGTTCTGGTGGTTTAGCCCCTCATCTGTGCTGCTGTTAACCAAAAGGCTACACGTGTTCAATGGTTCAATTCCACCAGTTGCTTGATGGGGAAAGATTGAACAGCCTTCGCTCATTAAGATTTACACCCTGAGAATCCCAGTGCAGGGTCATGATGAGTCAGAGCTCACTTTACAGCAGTAAGTTTGAGTTTGAATGGTTTGTGCTAACAGAAATTCATTTTCTCCTAGTTTACTAGGCTAGATGTTTGACGTCAGGTTGCTGATTCTCCTCTCAGTTCTGCAGGATAGTCTTTGTCTCTTCTTGATTCTTTGACAATTTTACACAGCTTGGCGTCAACCTTCCCTTCTCTCTGTATGTTTTCTTGTCCTAATTGTTGTTGAATGTACTCAAGGCCACTACAACCCATAAGAACCCTATGCACAGTAACTCTGAACCATGCTCTATCCTGAGCCAATCTCACTGTCTGCAGCACACCTAACCTCATTATTCCAGGTGCTGTGTCAAGTTATCTCATCCTGGATCTTCCTCTCCTGTGCTAGCCCTCTACTCTTTCAAGCATAAGGTCTTTCTCCAAGGACTGGGTTATAATTCCCTAATGATTCTACTACCAGAAGTCCCTAGCTTGCCCTAATTATCCCTTTATATATTTTGTAAGAGATTGAGTCAAGTCATAGCTTACACTAATCCTCTCATTAACCTAACAAAAGACAATTTATTCTCAAAGGAGATAATAACAACAAAGATAGAAGTCAAGTTATACAATACATCTTTTTGGGGAGATTAATAATAACAAATGAGGCTCTGTTTCAAATCTCAAAAATTCAAACCCATTGCCTTTGAGTTGAAAGACTCATTACTAAGCTTGCTGTGGGTTTCTGAAGCTATGTGCTGTCTGAGAGGGGATTTTCCAATTTTCTCCCACAAAACCACTGCAAGACTGAAACTACCAAAGAGGTTAGCAGGACAACTCGACCTTGACCTTCTAGGAGAAGTTCCTCTTAAATCTGTATCAACCATTGTAACAGCATTAACATCTTAAATAGAAAATGTGCGTCAAATTATGTGCTTCATCAGCTGAATACCAAGATTTTCAAAAGTAGTTTACAAAAATCTTACATGTATTCAAAGATCTTCTAATGTGAAGTAAAACTAGTGAAACACTATGAGAAAACAGGGTATTTTAGTATATTCTCTTATCTTTATTTAAAGTAAAACTAGGATATATCCACATCCAATTAGTTACAGAAACACTAATTCAGCACAGTTAAGAAAGAAATGAATTTGTAAACATTTATGACTGGAAGACTATGTAGGGAGGGCTCAAAAGTGTACATTTAATCCAACCATGCTGAAAAAGGTCTGAGTGCTTCCCAGCTTTCCCTTCTATCACCTTCAGCATTGCTTTCCCTCCTATGCGTACAAAATGTTTGCCAGCGGTTTTTGATGCCTCTGTGATGTAAATTAGCAGAAATATATGGGCAACTTTTCTCCTACATGGAACATGTTTGGTTTTTTTGTTTGTTTGTTTGGTGGAAGCATCAGTTATATATTCTGTGTGGACCAATAGGTGAGTGTTATGTGCTGAATTTTTTTAGAATATGGTCTAAGACTAAAACTGGGTGTGTGGCCACCTTCCCTGGTGTTAATCTGAGAAGGTTTTCTTTGCCTAAATAAAATTTGGCAATAGTTGCCAGATAGGTATCCATTAAGGAGAAAATTCTAGGAGATAAAAAAAAATTGCTATTATGTTCTTATCTATCTATGTGGCTGGCTATCATCTAGCTATACCTATGTGTTGTGTACGTGTGTGTTTAGCTGTGTGTATAGATATTAAAACTTATGAAAACTTTAACATTGGCCATAAAGCACTAAGGGTTGTAAAGTTGCTTAATTTCTTTATGAATAGAAAATATTTGTCAGGTTAGGACAGCACTAATCATCTTATTAGTTACATGTGTAGGATGTCTTCAGTGTTTTTTATTTCAAAATCATTCTTGGAAAAGGATACCTTGTTTGGAAAAGTAGGTCAATGAAGGAAAGGAACACCCTCAATGAGATGGGCTGACACAGTGACTGCAGCATTGTGCTGAGGTTGGTAAAGATTGTGACGAGGACCTAGCAGTGGTCACAGTCTCACTCTTGTACACAGGCCAATTTATTGGCACCTAACAACGGGTTTAAGGCAATTTTGGAAGAAATGATAAATAACCAGTTAATAAAAATTACTTTAATATTTTAATCAAACTTGTTGCTTTTCTTTCAGTTCTAATCAGGCATTTATGGAACTTAATTGAAGGATTCACATTTTATTGTGAAAATCAAGCTGCTGTATTTTCTTTTAGTAGTGACTCATAATACATTTTTCAGTGAGAGCTGATTTTAAAATGCATAAGGTATGTGATCCTTTCCCCTGTTAGTACCAACTGAAACCTGTTTAACTTACTGTGTTTGATTCTTGGGGACGTTTACGTTCAAGGTTCTGTCAAAGCAATCTATTATTCTTGTTTTTACCTGATGGATCATGGGGGAAAATAATGGATTCAGTTATGAGAAGCTATAATATATTTTTTTAGACTGACATAAATTTCTCTCCCTGTATAGAATAAAAGAATCAGGAAAAGATAAGTTGAATTTTCCTACAATGAGCCAGTTCTTGTTAAATTTATCTGCCATAAATTGTAGCAAACCACTTTTTATGTAATGTTTTACTTATGTAATTCAGTTATGTGAAAGTAGTATTGAGGGATGAGAATATATCATTTCGTGTGAAGTTTCAAATCTTTTTCCATTTAAACCTAAGAAAAAAATTTGGGGGGGGGGTGCATAGAAGAAAAATTCCATTAAATTTCCTTTTTAAAAGGTTAGAAAGTTTGAAGTTTTAATTGCCTGGGGCCAAAGAGTCACAGGGCAGATTCATAATTGTCATGAAATCTGAACTGTTTGTTGTCTTCAGGAACAAAGATAAAGTAAAAATATCTGCAAACTGAGCTTCAGATAATGGCATCCTTCTGAGATGCAAAACAGCAAGAAAGATACATGAACCATAAGGGGAAACAACAAGCTGGGCTCACTCACAATTTTTGCTCACAACATGTACCTGTTTTGTGACCATATGGATTTCTTGAACCATGCCTGGCTCAAATTCAAGTTTGTTGGCCCAAAGGGAACCATTTTCCTTTGAAAATGTACAATATTGTCACCAGCTATAGAATCCTGGAGGAAGCAGGGTCATCTGGTGCTCAGGGCTTGCCAAGCATATGCCATACCTGGAATGATGTGTTTCTTGGTTCAGTAGAGCCAATGATTTCTGTACCAAATAGCCTTGGTAGTATGACCGTGGTGACTTTCCCAGGCTCTTTACAAAGATAAATTATTTTAAAGACAAACCAGAATGTATTTCCTGGCCTGATTATGGACAAGATTTGATCCATGGTCTTCAATGTGATTCAAAAGTCATTGCCGTATGATGGGAAACAAGGGGAGACTTTGATATATAGTACTGAGGTTTTAAACTCATCGCTCCTTTGACATTTTTAATTTTACTGCCTTTCCCTGCCTCATTCAACCCTCAGATATTTTTTAATACTACGAAAGTAATATCTGCTGGCCTTAGAGCTTACTACATTTAGAAACAAGATAGAGAAGAAAAATAATATGCAGACTTGTTTCTCAGAGCTTTCCCCCTTTTTAAATTTTTTATTTTTTACTAATTTATTTACAAAATTCAAATACATTATTTTCAAGAACAATTTCCTTCAATTTTACTCAACCTCCCACCCATCAAATTGAACAACCCCGTGATTAATCCCCTCTCCTCCTGCACATCCTCATCCCTCTGCTTCCCCACTCTCCCACCCTTCTTTGATCTTTATACTCATTCCACAATAATTGTTTCATATTATATTTATCCTTGTGGGACTGAGTTAGCTCACTCAGCATAATGCTTTCCAGTCCCTTCCAAGTTAAGCAATAATTTACAAAATCATTGTTCCTCTGTGCTTTTAAGAAGTTTGCCTTCAACCTAAATTTAGCTGGTGCTATCGACATAGGGGCTAAAAAACTGAAATTAAAAGAAGAGTTAATTTAGGTAATGCATCAGAAGTGAGACAGATTTTGATATAAACATCTTTTTCATCCTTTTGAAAAAGAATCACCTCTTCCAGAAAAGGATAACTAATCTCAAGAATTCCTTAAGTATCAGTTTTGTGCTTTGACTGACATAAAGGGGCTTCAAGACTTTTAATCTCTTGAAATCTTAGAATAGCTCATTTGATTATACCATTCATGAAAGATGTAGGGGCTTAGTGTTAAACAAATTTGTTTTAATATGTACTGTAC